GGGGACCGCAGGGGCCGCCAGGCCGCGGGAGGGACAGCCCCGGGCCTCCTTCCACGTGGCAGCTGCTGCCTTGGCCCGAGCGACTGTGTGGACTTGGGTCGCCTGCTGTGCAGCGGGCTGGGGAGGACTTGCTCTCTCTCGTCCCAACGTGGAGGGTCGGTCTCCGAGGGGTAACAGGAAGGGGAGGCGGGGTGGCTAACTTCAGACTTCCCCTTCCTCCTCCCGCCTGCTCCGAGGGGTCTTTTCTGGACGCGCAGGGAAGGGCAGGGGCCAGCGGTCACTGCGGCGCGCGCCCTGCCCCCTGCTGACCTCTAGGGATTGGGGCAGCCGCGGCCCTGGCTTGCGGGACCCCGGCTGCTCGCGCTCCCGCCGGGGTGGGAGAGGCAGGCAGCGCGCCAGAAAGCTGCGGCGCGTAGACAAGACCTTCCTTGTTTCCGATAGTGGCCCGGCGGGAGCCCAGCGCCGCGTGCACCCCCCAGCACTGCCAGTGCGCCCGGGGCTGGCTGGGCAGTGCCGGCTGGCTAACCCGAGACTCCATGGGACCTCTATGAGAGAGGCTTGGCCCGAGCGGTCCCTGGCGCCACCATGATGCAGGACCCCTCCCAGGGACCGCTGGGGGGCCCTTCGCTCAGCGCCCTGTTCCTGTGCAGGCTCTCGGCCAGCATGGCCCCCACGTTGCAGCAGGCGTACCGGCGGCGCTGGTGGATGGCCTGCACCGCGGTGCTGGAGAACCTCTTCTTCTCCGCGGTGCTCCTCGGCTGGGGCTCCCTGCTCATCATGCTCAAGAAGGAGGGCTTCTATTCCAGCCTGTGCCCAGGTATGTCCCAGAGGGGGCCCGCCCCCGCCCTCCGCGGGAGGCTGGGGAAAGGATGGGTGGCTCAGGGACAGAAAGCAGGGCAGCTCAGTTCAGTTTCCAAGTCGTTGGATGGCCTCTCATCACCTTAGGGGAGGCCTTCTGCCCAGTCCACCCCTGTCCTCCAATCCAGTTGGCGCTGGGGGCTGGGGCAATGGGCAGAGAGTCCGAAGCCTCTGGGAACTTCCATCTGGTGCTGAATGCACCCGCTGGGAGGAGAAGCGGGCCTGTGGTAAGGCTGCATAGGAGAAACTGGGCTTCACAAGCGGTTCCTTAGCTCAAGTCAGGCCAGGAGTTCCTCCTTAAGTGTGACCGAGACCCCACAATCTAGGTGCTTGGCATGGGGAGAGGTTTCTGTCAATTTTTGGTGCTTTACTGCTCCTTCTGTGCTGACTCTTAAAAGTCAGCCAGTCAGCACACTCCTGGGAACCTGCAGAATCTCTTCCATTCCCTTCTCACCCAGGGCTCTGTCTCCTTCCCCAATGTCCGGTGAAAGCTAACTTTAGGATGAGCAAACGGCTGCTCAAGGGATCTTGTGCAATGGCCCTACCTGTCTCGCATCTGTCACAGCAGAGTTTTCCTTGGAAATGCCTGGTTTTTCTGTACTTACGCTCCCTGAAAATGTCCTTTTACTGAGCATGCTTCTGTGAATCCTCATGAAGAATCCAGATGGTGTGAGTGCTTTAGGGAAACTCGGTTTAGTTAGTTCGAACAGAAACTCTGGTCTGCTCCCCCGACAGACGAAAGGGCCGGCCGGTTGATTGTGAAAACCCTCTGAAGCACAGGTCTAATCGCTGCACTGGGGGGGTGATCAAGAGTCAGAATTTTCTATTTCATGCTAAAACCAAACCCAAACCCACTGCCATTGGGCCGATTCCAATGTATACGGACACCCTGGAGGACAGGGTAGGACTGCCCCTGTGGGATTCTGAGACTGTAATTCTTTATGGAAGAGAAATCCTACTCTCCTTCATGGTGGTTTTGAACTGCTGACTTTGACTTCCTGTAACCCCCTACGCCACCAGAGGAAAGCTGTATAAAGTGGGACTTTTTAGGATGTAGAATGCCTTACTTAGGTGTTCAACATGCCCAAAGCAGATAGCCTCAAGGTCTTTAGGCCTGTCATTTGGGGTTGTTAGTTGTTTCCGGATTGATCCCACCTCACGGCGACCCTGTGTGTGCGCAATGTAGAACTGCTTCATAGGGTTTTAATGACTGACCTTTGAGAAGTCGATCACCAGGTCCGTCTTCTGAGGTGTCTCTGGGTAGATTCAAACCACCAACCTTTTGGCTAGTAGTCGAATGCTTAATCATTTGTGCCACCTGGGGATTTCTGGAAGGTCCGTACCTACTTTTTCAGCCACTTGGCTTGTGTGAGTTGGCCGTGAACTCAAAACTGAATCTACAGCTGTTCGGATTGATTCTAGCTCATGGTGACCTTACAAGTCCACGCAGAACTGCTCCAGAGAGTTTCCAAGGCTAGAACTGTATAGACTGCCGCATTTTTCCCCTGTGGACTTTTTTGTTAGCAGCCTCCCATGTGCTTTAAGCTCTGAGTCACCAGAGCTCCTTCACTCAGAACCCCCAAAACCCAAGCCTACTGCCATCTAGTTGATTTTGATTCACAGTGACCCTACATAGGGTTTCTAAGACTCTAAATCTTGACAGGAATAGCCAACTTCAAGTTCTCCCTCGGAGCAGCTGAGGGTTTGAACCACTGACCTTATGGTTAGCAAACCAGTGGTTAGTGGATAGCATCATCAAAGCTCCTTTGACCCACTTCCAGGTGGTGGGAAATCCTGAATTCCTTGGGGAGTGATTACTACCAGGCACCCTGGAGGTAGAGACTCCACTCTGGTGTCTTGGCTGTTGTGAAGGGTGTCTTCCCAGCCTGGGGAGCAGGGAGGGTAGTGCTGACAGGCTCAGCCTGGAAAGTTGGAGGGATGTTGAGTTCTGTCTTGCACCTCCCTGCCTGCCCTTGACCCTCCAACCTCCATGTAGTGGAAAAATCCACAGCTTTTACCAACTAGGTGATGTCCACAAGGCCCTTTCAAATTGAATTTGCAGAATGGGAGTGATCACTACCTCCCAGAAGGGAGGAGGGATGGTTGTGGGTGTCACAGTGCTTCATAGATGTTAGTGTCCCTCCTGGCTTCTGCTGGGTCCTCACCTCAACTCCCTGTGGGCACTTGCCTCAACTGTGCGGAAAACCACAGCGCTGAGCATGCAACTGAGGATGGGTGGGTGAGGGGAGGCTTTGATCTCTGCCCTGGACAGCCACCCCACCCTGAGTGCTGTGAGGGTTATCTGGGAGGAAGCAGCAGGTGGCACCGAAGATGGCGACCTGCCTGGTACCTCCTGGCCCCAATTGTGAGGCGTCAGGGGCTGAAGGAGCTGGAGATTAGAGGTGGCAGCTGGCCTTGGGAGCAGTTGGGTGGGATGATTAGGCCTGGCATCGAATGATAGGGGTTCCAGGGTGGCTGAGAGGACCCAGCAGAGGACTCCTAGGGGACCTGCAGTGATCAAAGTGGTTTACCCAGGAGACTGGTGAGGCCCCGCCCTCTGACCCTGGCCAGGCCTTTGCTGCCTCCTTAGTAGCACTCTCCTGCCTCTTCCATCTGGTGGTGTTGGTTTCCCTCTAATCCACTCTGCTGATGATTAATTTATATTCAGGGAATCCCTAGTGGGGCAACGGGACCAGCTGGCAACCTCTGGCTGGAAGACTGGTGGTTTCAGCCCACTCCAAGGTGCCTCCACAGACAGGCCTTGCAAACCCTGCTCTGCACTCACGAGATCGCCACAGGGACATCACCTGGAGGGCAGCTAACAAGGAAGCCTTGTCTAGTGTTGGCATATGTGTGCACCCCCGCCACTGTCACCTCAGTCAGTATGTAGGACATTTCCATCACTTCAGGAGAAACTCCGCCCCCCCCCCCCCCTTTGGAGGGCCCACCTCTTCACCTGTGCTTTTTGGAAAAACGAAACCATTTTCTTGAGAAGATCTGATGAGGGCGCTTCAAAAAGTTCACGGAAAACTCCCATTAGCTTAGCACGCCGTTTCCCCAATGAACTTTTGGAAGCCCCCTTGTATTTACTAGTGAAGAGATGGTGTGGTTGAGCGGTAGAACTCTTGCCTTGTGTGCCGGCGACCCGGGATCAATTCCCGGCCAGTGGGTCTCATGTGCGGCCTGTGCGGCAGTGTCCGTCGGTGGAGGCTTGTGTGCTGCCGTGACGCTGAGCAGGTTTCAGCAGAGCTTCCAGACTAAAGCGAAAGGCTGGTGAAGTACTGCCAGAGCGAGTTGTCTGTGGTCACTTCTCTGTTGTTGTTGTTAGGTGCCCTGGAGTCGGTTCTGACACCTAGTGACCCTACGGATGACAGAACGAAGCACTGCCCGGTCCTGTGCCATCCTCACGGTCATTCCTACGCCGTCACCCATTGTTGCAGCCACTGTGACAATCCGCATCATGGAGGGCCTATCTCTTTTTAGCTCCCCGCCCCTCCCTGTTGCCAAGCATGACGTCCTCCTTTCAGGGACAGTTCTCTTCTGGCAACATGTCCAAAGTATGTGAGACCAAGTCTTCCCATCCCTTGCCTCTACAGAGCTTTCTGGCTGTACTTCTTCTAGGAGAGATTTATTTGTCTTTTTAGCAGTCCAGGGCACTTTCAATATTCTTCTCCAGGACCACGATTCCAATGTATCAATTCCTCAGTCTTTTAAAAAGTAGCCTTGTAATGATTAAGAAAGAATAGTAAATAACATAAAGGAGCCTTGTTCTAAAGTCTAATATCTTGGAATCCTGAGTTGGATGCGACATCCACACGTGTATGTAGCACACCTGTGTTGCTGTTGTGGCCCGGATTTGTCAGTTCGAACTCAGAGTGAGTGATGGAGAGAACAGGTGGAACTGCCTATCGTTTTCTTGGCTGTCATCTTGATCAGAGAGGGTCAAATCTGAGCTCCCGCAGAGCTGCTGCCTCAGTACCAACTGTAGCTCTTTCTGTTACCAGTAGAGTGCTGAAGCACTGCACCACCAGGGCTCTTTATGAGGGATGTCTACATTTCTAATACATATTCAAATAACACCAAGCTATGAGAAAGGAGCCCTGGCGGTGTAGCAGGCTATGCATTGAGCTGCTACCTGCAAGGTCATCTGTTTGAACCCACTAGCCACTGGGCCAGAGAAAAATGAGGCTGTCAGCTCCTGCCAAGATGTAAAGTTTTAGAAACCCAAAGGGCACTTATACGTTGCCCCATAGGGTCATCGTCAGTTGGAATTTACTCTATGGCAGTGGTGGGTTTGGGTTTGGTTGGTATAAAGCACAGGTAGGTCGGAAGTAGAGCTCTTGCCTTCCATGTGGGAGGCTCAGGTTTGACTCCCGGGCAGTGCACCACAGGCGTGGCCACTACCCATCTGTCAGGGGCCGATTGATTTGTTGTCCGTAATGTTGGACTGATTTCAGTGGAGTTTTCAGATTAAAACAGACCAGGAAGAAAGGTCTGGCGATCTACTTCCCCCCAAAATGAGCCATTGCATCCTGCCAGGCTTCCTTGTGCATGGTGTCTCCGTGAGTTGGGTCTGATTGGACAGCAGCTATCATTGGACAACAGGGCACATGAGAAAGCATTCCAAGCACCACTCGGACCCAGCATGCCATGTACACACACTATACTTTGGGACACTCGGTCTCCTTAACTTCTGAATAATTTCTCCTTGTTCCACTCCAGGCGTCTCTTCACTCATCTGTCAAATTGGGGAAGTTTGATTTCAAAGACTCCTTCTGTTGCAATGAACACAGACATCAGCCCAAGAGGTCATAGCACCTTGGTTCAAAAGTCAGACTTTATCCAACCCCTCAGAGTGGTTCATCAGACTTTAAGAACTAACTCACATTAGCTGGACTCATTGGCAGCTGATCAAAAACCCGAGAAACTAGTGTTATCAATGACTATAGTCTTTTTTTTTTTTTTTAATGACAAGTCTTTAGTTGGCCACTCTGCTGATGGAAGAAGCACATTTCCTGGCAAGCGCTGGTGGATACTTGGGAAACTTACAAAGCTGGTTGCTTCAGAACAAAGTGACCCATAGTGCAATGGGGTGGACACTTTTGGATACAGTCTTGAGTTTGAAATAGAGCTGTGTGACCGTGAATTGCATTGATTCTTAGAGCCCTTGTCGTCTATAACATGGGGATCATGATTCTCAACTTCCTTAGAGCGTGAACATTCAAAGAGATATAATGTGGCAAGGCCTGGTACCTTGTAGCCAGACCAAAGCAAAGCCTTGGTTGTTGCGTGTCAGCATTTAACTGGGGTTGGCTGGGCTTTCCATGGTTGGATTTTTAAAAGTTGGTCTCTAGGCCTTTCTTGGAGTCCCCTGGGTGCTGTAAATGGTGAACGGGGTTGCCCTCTCACCAAGAGGTTGTTGACTGGGGCTCACCAGAGACACCTTGGCAGAAAGGTTCTTCTTGCTCTGTTCAGCCTCGGCTCTGGCCTCGGGTGTGGTTTGTCTCTCAGGAACCAGGTCCAGTGGCCAACCTGTTCACTGCCAGGAGGAGCAGAGGCCCATCTGTGGAAAACAGTGCCTATAGCGAGCACTGAAATGGTCCCCTTGTCCAGAGAGCTGACAGCCACCTTTTAGTTAAGGGCATCGTAACCAAACAAACAGACCCATACTCCCTGCTATTGAGCCGATTCCAACTCACCACTCAGTGTCACCGCCAATGTGTCAATTCTGACTGAGGACAGGGTAGAACTGCTCCACTGGGTTTCCAAGACTGTACCCCTCGACAGGCATAGAAAGCCTCATCTTTCTCCCTCGGAGCAGGCTGGTGGTTTCAAACTGCTGACCTTGCTCGTGGCGTGGTCAAAACCCCTATCCACTTGCTCTCCATGCCAGCCATGCCTCTCAGTCTCTCTAGGGGTGGGCACCTGGGGTGCATTCCCCAGGCCCAAGACGGTTCCTTCCCAAGCACTTTAGGGTAGCACACAGGTCAGTTTACCATGTCCACCCCTGGGATATTCCAGATTCCCAAGGACAAGGTCAGCATGAGCCTTGGTGCAAATGTCTTCCCCTGAGGCCCCAAGCATCTAGATGCTAAAACCTCCTCGTTTTCTTCTCTTACAACACCTGTCACCTCCGTGGGTATGTCTCCTTGTGGTTTGGCTAACGGTGTAGAGAGCACAGTAGTTTCCGGTCCAACAATCGAGACACTTTGCTTCACAACATTCATGGCAATTCCCTCACTCCCACTTCCTCTCTGGGTCCTCCCCCCACCCATTCCCATCAGTCCTTTTCTGCCTTCTGGGCTTTATCTGGGGGCACATGCTACCCTCTGGGTCTCATGAGCGCCTGCCACTCTTGCCACCAGCATCTGTGTGTTTGCTTGTGTATTGTCTAATGCAATCTCCACAAGAGCAGAGTACTTCCTGTCTGAGCCACTGTGGGATCCTTGGCCCCTGGGATGGGATGGACTCTCCCTGTAGTAACCCTCCAGGTGACCCAGCAACGTCCCTTCCCAGCCCCGGGAGCACCTTCTCGGGGCCCACTTTCTCCTACCGAATGCACCTAAGGAGCCAATGGTGGAGGTGTGCTTGACTCCCCTTTGCAGATAAGGGTGCTGAGACTCCGAAAGAAAGTCCCTTGGGCAAGGTGGCACCGCTTCAGAGGACAGTGGTGGGCACTCAGACCCGGACTTTCTCCCCTCCCAGGTGTGCCCTGAACTGGCCCTAGGCAAAGTGGCCTAGGAACAAACCAGTGATGACACAGCACCTGGGCCCAGACCATAACTATAGACACCCCCCTCAAAACACACACACACACACACACACACACACACACACTCTAAACACCTCATTGCCATAGAGGGTTGAGCTGCTGCCGCGGGTTTCTGAGACTGTAACTTTGTTGACGGGAGTAGAAAGCCTCTTCTTTTTCCCTGGAAGTGACTGGTGGTTTCAAACTGCTGACTTGGCCGTTAGCAGCCCAACTCATAGCCCTTACCTTACCAGGGTCCCTCTCCCTACCACCAGCCACCCCAAAGTCATCCAGTTGGCAGCATCAGAGGTCTGGCAGGCCCCATCCCACCCCAGTGCTCTCCTCCCTCACCTGTCCCATGTGCTAAGTACTCTTCTCACCCCCATCCCCTCCCCAGCTAAGAACAACACCAGTGGCCACCAGGAGCATTGGACAAGCTGCGACTTGCAGGACGAGATGCTCAACCTGGGCTTTACAATTGGTTCCTTTGTGCTCAGCGCCACCACCCTGCCCCTGGGCATCCTCATGGACCGCTTTGGCCCCCGGCCGATGCGTCTGGTGGGCAGGTGAGCTGGCAGGGCAGTGGGGGCTGGAGGGTGGGAGCGGGGCTTCGGGGTGGAGGGGCTATAGATGGTTGGTCCCTGATGTTCCTGCAGTGCCTGCTTTGCTGCATCCTGCACCCTCATGGCCTTGGCCTCTCGAGACACCAGTGGTGAGTGGCCTGCCCTCTTGTGTCCCCAGGAGAAAAGAATGGGTGGGATGAGGGTGGATGCTCTTGACCCCACCTCCCGTCCTCATCCCATCCCCCAATGCCACCCTTATCGTCTCCTCTCCCCCCTCCCAGTCCTTTCTCCGTTGATATTCCTGGCGCTGTCCCTGAATGGCTTTGGTGGCATCTGCTTAACCTTCACCTCACTCACTGTGAGTACTGCTGGCCAGGAAGAGGGTGAGGATGGGGGAAGCTGTGCTGGCTGCAACCGCAAGCGGAGGAGAAGGGGTGTGTTGGCGTGTGGGTGCCCCCCCACAGCCTACAACCAGGGGAGTGGGTGCCCCCAAAATGAATGATGCTCAAGGTCTCAGTGCTGGGAGGGCAGTGAAGCTAGGGCCTGGTTCCTGCAGGAAGGGGGCAGCTCCAGACTGGTGGCGTGGCTGGGGGGTGGCGGGGAGGGTGTCCAGCCCCTGTGGGGAGGACATGGGGTCAAACCATATGAAGTTGACCACGTTTGACCCACAAAACAAGGGTTTTTCGTGTTGCCTGAGCGCTGACATGTGAATTGCTTGTGTTCTTGTATAAGAGTCCATGTTTATGGCTGTGAGGGGGTGAGCAGAAGAGGGTTAAGGGGTGGGGTGTGTGTGTGTGTGTGTGTGTGTGTGTGTGTGTGTGTGTGTCCCTGGCGCAGCAGCCTCCGGCTGTTGATCTGGGCTAATGAGGGCCAGACTGGGTGTTTTTGCTGAATTTCCCCACACTCTCCCGGCAGCCGCCTTTAGTTCCAGCCTGGGACATTTCACAACTGGGGGTGGCGGGGGAAGCGGATCCCTTCCTCTCCCGCCCCCTCAGCAGCCCCTAAGGCCCCAGGATCCGCCCCGTGGCCCCGCCCTGCCGCTCCCCGCCCCGTAATCTCCAGCCAATGGCAGGGCCCCGCGCTGGCCCCGCCCCCGCTGCTGCTCCCGGGAACGTCGCGTCCCTGCCAGGTTATCCCGGGTCAGCCAGGAGTGATTCGGACACCCACCCCCACCTCCCACCCCACCTCCCCCATGTGCTGGGTGGGGACCCTGCCCTTGGACCCCTTCCCGAGGGTTCGGTCGCCCTCCCTGGCGCTGGCTCCCTTCGCTAAGGCCCTTGGCAGCTTGCCCTGCAGATTCCAGGTATCAGGGCCACCCTGGCCCTCCCCTCCCCACATTCAGAGCCACTTGTAGATGTGGGGGAGGATCGACTCTTAATTCTGTTTGCCCACCTTCCAAGGTCCCTGGGTGGCACCAACATTGGGGGTGGGGTGGAGGGGGGACTTTCCACTTATAGCCCTGGTGATGCTGCAGGGTAATCTTCAGGCTGCTCACCTCAAGGTCGATGGCTCAAAGCCACCAGCCACTCCTGGAGAAAAGGCTGAGGCGGGCTGTTCCTGTAAAGGTAGACAGTCTCAAACCCTATATAGGCGCTATGCGCCCCGGTGTCGTGGTGATCTTGCTTTGGGCTACTCACCACAAGGTCTGAAGTTTGACATCATCAGCCTTCCGAAGGGCTTTTCTACCCTTGTAAAGAGTTACAGTAAAAACAGAAACAAAAAAAGAGTTACAGTCTTGGAAGCCCTGGGGGTCAGTTCGACCCTGTCCTCCAGCGTGGCCCTGAGTTGGAATCGACCGCTGGCCGTGAGCTTGGTTTTCAGAGTTTTATGAATGAGAATGGACCCGAAAGCCATGGGTGGGTGTGACAGAAAGGGTGGCATCTCCAACCCACCCAGCAACCCTGGGACAGAAACACCTGATGGGCTACTTCCTGTAAAGATTACAGCCCAGAAAAGTGTGGGTCACTGTGAGTCAGAATCCACCCAGGGACAGTGTGTGTGTGTGTGTGTGTGTGTGTGTGTGTGTGGCCACTTCCCTTCCGAAAGGGCTTTCTGTGTACAAAGTTTCTGGCCTCACACCCAGGGAGCCGAGTTGTGGAGCAGGGCTGACTCAGGCTGTTCCCGCTATGGAATCTGGTGACCTGGGAAGGATCCGGGTGAGGGACAAGGGAGTGTTTCACAAAGGGCATGGTGACTTTGTGGCTTTGCCTGTTCTCCCCTGAGGGCCTGGCTCAGGCCAGCTGAGCAGCACGTGCAATCCGAACTGGTGGGCGTTTTCACTTGGTCTCCCGGTCATAGCTACCTCCCCCGGTGACCTGGCCTGCTCCTTCCTTCGGTCCCCGCCTCACCTCCCTGGTCCTTCTTGAGGCTTGTCCTGGCTCAGCAGAAACGATGGGCAGGGGAGCCTTTGGGACCACCTGGAGGACAAAGGGCCACCAGGAGTCACTGGGTGGTGCAAACGGTTAAGTGCTCTCCCCCTCGTGGAAAGGATGGGAGTTCGAATCCACCCAGAGGGCCCTCTGAAGGCATTCCTGGCAGTCTGCTTCTGAAAGGTCACAACTTTGAAAACCGTATAGAGCAATTCTCAACCACATGTTCCTATTGGCCAGGTTGGCACAATAAACCTACCACATCCACACAGATAGGGTCCCCATGACTCAAGACAGCAGCTAACACTAATCGTCAGGGTTCGGGGTCAGCCAAGCCCAATAGCCTGGGGGCCTGGGATGCTCAGGGGAAAGTTTTTGCGGCCCTGCCACCCCTTTTGGGTTTGAGTTCTCTCATCAGTAAAATGAGTTGGACTCCATCAGTATTGCCCAAACCCCTGCTCCGTTAGGGAGCTGGGTGGGTTCGGGGGACGTGCCCCCAGACGACCTCCTGACAAGAACTTCCTGAGGGCACCTCTGGAAGTCTTCAGGTGTTGAGGTACATTGGATGGAGTTGTTATTGCAGGCATGGAGGGGTGCGGGGGGTGGGGTGGGGCCCGCGTCAGAGCACAGAGTTGCTTGAGAACTTTCTTGTTGTGTCTCATAGCAATGTGTCTGGTGTTCCCACCTGTATTAGTCTAGGTACTTTGGAGAAACAAATCCACAGCAACTCACATATAAGAGAGAGTTTTATGCAAAGAAAATGTGCATCACGAAAACATCCCAACCCAATGCTGCCCAAGCCCACAAGTCCAACATTAACCCATACCCAACACCAGTCCACAAAGTCCTTCACCTCACAAAACAGAGGCAATAATGCCGACTGCAGGAGGAAAGCTGAGTCAGTGAACGTGTACGCATCTCAGCACTGGCAGGGGTCTCCACATGGCTGCTCCAGCACCCAGGGCTGCATCGGGATAGATCCATGCGGCTTCTCCTTGGGGATGTCTTGTAGGAAATCCATCTTGCAAGCTGAAGCAGGGAACTGCTAAGGCAGCTGCACCCGATGCAACCATCACAAAACAAGAGACCCGAGAACTAGAAAGGCGAGGCTTCACCACCCATTTATCCCTCCGCCTTTCAACCAGACCCACATGTGATTATTGGCCAGGCTGGCACAATTAACTAACTCACCACCGAGGGAGGCCAATCTAGGTGGTAGTAGTGTTTAACAGAACCCAGCACCGGTCGGTCCCGGCACCATCCTCACAATTGTTCTTAGGTTTGAGCCCTCTGTTGTACTCATGGTGTTGATCCATCTTGCCAAGGGTCTTTCTCAAGTTCACTGCCCCTCCTCTTTACCAAACTGGAAATCCTTCTCCAGGGACCGGTCTCTCCTGATAACATGTCCAAAGTACATGAGACCAAGTCTCACCATCCTTGCCTCTACAAGGAGCATCCTGGCCAGACTTCTTCCAAGACAGATTTGTTGGTTCTTTTGCACTAGGTGCTTCTGAGTCCTCTCAGGCGGACCTGGGGAAGGTGAGCCCTCAGCTGATGCCAGGTATGCCCTCCTCACCTCCGTTGCCCTTCTCCTCCCCCAGCTGCCCAACATGTTTGGTAATCTGCGCTCCACCTTCATGGCCCTCATGATCGGCTCCTACGCCTCTTCCGCCATCACGTTCCCCGGCATCAAGGTAGGCAGCTTTGGGGGTGGGGGGTTCTCTTGGGGGTTTCTTTTGGCCTTCACACAGCACTGAGCAGGGTTAGCCACAAAGAGAAGTGCCGTCCTAACACATGCTGCAATGTGGATGAACCTGGAAACAAGTCCCCACGAAGGACACCTGTCTTGGAGTCTCACTGATGTGACAGGGGCAGATGTATGGAAATCAGAGGGTGTAGAGTGGTGACCTGGGAAGGGAGGAGGGTCAAGGGAGCCATGTAAGGGACACAGACGTTCATAGTGGTGGCACGGTGTGGAAATGGCTAGTGGAGGTGACCACACGGTACAGTGAACAACATCTGAATGACGCCGATGTCACCGACTCAGACAGTCAAAAGTGTTGGACTAGAGGATGCTTTGTTAGTCTCTAGTTTTTGACTCAAAGCACCCGATGTGACAGTAGCACGTCAGGTTACAGTTTTCTGGGCTGTAATCTTTATCGAGAGCCCTGGTAGCATAGTGGATTATACTTGGGCTGCCGATCACAAAGCTGGCGGTTTAAACGTGCTTCCCCTCACCCCCAACCCCTCCATGGGAGAGAGATGAAGCTGTCTGCTCCCACAACTGTTTCCAGCCTTGAATAACCTTGGGAGCAGTGCTACTCTGCCTTGTTAGGGCCAAGAGGACCTGAGATCAACTCAGTGACAGTGGGTGGCGAACCTTTATGGCAACACACAGCCAAGTCTTTTACGTGCAGAGCAATGGAACAGCATCTTGCCAACAGACCTTTCCATTATCAGCAAGTAACCATTTTTGCCACTAGGGCAATTAAGGTAAAAGTATTAAAATTCAAAGTATTTAAGTATCACAACACACACACACACACACACACACACACACACACACACACACACACACACACACACACAAAGCTGGGAGAGTGGCAGCTGGGGCTCCCGGTGACCTGGTTCCTCTGGTTAGAGGCTGGTTTCCAGAGAAGCACTGAGGCCTCACAG